CCAGTTGTGCGAACACACAAGGCTAACCGCAAATCATAAATTATGCGCGCCGCAGACACTGATAACCACAGTAGAACTAACGACACGTCGGCTTGGTATGCCTCTTCCCAGCGTTGTCACTGGGCATGTAAATGCCTAAATGCAGAACCATTAAGAACATGAATCTTGAAGCACCCCGGGTGGACATACCGTCCAAGAACTTTGTTCATCCGGAACATGTCGACCTTTTCAGTACCGAAGACAGCTCGCATGTTATCGTCGCACATGATCTCACGCCTGTTGGAGGGGTTTTGAAGTTCATGGCCACGAATATACTCCCATAGTCTCTTCACGACTTGGGGGCGCGAGAGCTTGTCCACGCCAACAACCACTGATAGAGATTCGCTGTAAAATGAAGAAAGGATGAGGATATCGCACGGTAATAAACGACGTAGAACAGGGGCATTTGAAGCACCTGAGGATATATTCCTTCGCGAAGCCTCCTCTTGCACCTCCGCTGCGTTTCTTCTTTGGCTTCTCCTCATCTTCACCCTCGTCCTCCGCATCAGAATCAACCAAGGCTGCGCTCTTCTTCGTCTTACGCTTCTTGGGCGTAGCAGATGCGCCGTTTGATGTGCCGCGCCGTGACCGGGAGTTGAGTTCTGATGCAAGCTTCCTGGCCAACTCGGCATCAGCCTCCTCGACGCTTTTCGCAGCGCCCTTCTTTTTCTTCGTTGGTGGTTTGACGTCATCCTCTTCCGATGCTTCTCCGTCTTGCTCCTCCGCATCATCATCTTGGTCGTCCTGCTCCTCCGTAGCCTCCCCTTGATCTTGTTCCGTTCCTCCTTCTATCTCTTCCTCGCGTTTCCTCTTCGATTCGTCTGTTTGCGCCTGCCGACTAACGCCCTCGTAGATACTCGAAATCATAGTGTCCACCTCTGTCCTCCGTTCCTTCAGTCCTCGAGCGGTAAGGCCCAACGCGGTGTCCTCCAGCAACTTCTGTCGAACTCCTTTCGCACTGATGGTGCTCAAATCAACACCCGGAGCAGTGAGGATGCGCATAATGGGGCCTTCGAGATCTTCCAGGTTGAAGTTCATAGTGGCAATGGTGCTGGGTGCCAGCTCAGGCGTCGTAAGGGTGAATCACTGCTCTAGGTTTGAAAGGGGGTCTAATCAGGAGACCGAGAAGCGTAAACTTGTAGTTGTGCTTGAGTTATACCCTGATTCCCAGGCTGACGTTTATCTCGAATCTCGACACCTCAACAACCCGCGGTGCTCGCACAACAAGGGGCTGACTAGCCAAATATCCATAAATAGGTGGCGGCAAGACTGGCCAAGTTTCAAATTGGACCTAATGACCCAAAGCTACGTTTTGATGTGCTGTCATGGCTATATACCTACAACCATAGAGAACGTGTGATGTGCTAATGCACGACGTTCCATTCCTGCCGGGCTGGATCGCCTGGTGGCGGAAACACCCCCAAATCTCTCTGACCCCCCTGGTCTTGCTGCTGTTCCTGTTCCTGCCCTCTAGTTCTACGCACAATACGTGTGCGGACGTAGATCAGGACTGCAACGAGAGCACAGAGAGCTACCAATAACATCGTCTCCATCAACTCGTCTACTTCTTCCTCCCGTTGGTGTCCACCACGAATAGCAGCTTCGAAATAGTCTTCAGGACCAAAATCGCTGTTCCGTTCGTTTTCCGCGTTCCTTCTCTCTTGTGCCCACTGTGATTGAGAATAAGAAAGTGTGTGACGAAATGATGGAGGAAATACTCACTTGGACTAGATCATCTTCCTCAGCAGCAGCTGCTGCACGGGCGGCTTCGCCCTGCCTTCGTCTGCGGAAATCTTCACTGGCTTTGCCTATATACCACTTCCCATCATCCTCAGACTCTTCGACGGTCTTGTCCTCCTTGTGGGAAGCAGGTTGAGGACCGCCATCTTCTTGAGAAGTGTCTTTGGAACCACTCTCTATTTCCCGGTTCAAGCGAGCCCTTTCTGCCACAGACACTGGAAATATATTAGCCGAGATTATGGACTATATAGCGAGATGTGCCGCACTTTTATCTGCATCATACTTCCACAAATTAAGCCCGTCCTTGCCACCCTGAAGAGTGTACCAGAAACTCCGAGCATACAACTTCACTAGGGAGAGCAGCACAGGCAGGTATGCCTCGTTATTCGTTTCAACCGCCATATCATAATGCCTCTTCGCAAGATGGAAATCCTGTTAAGAGTGTTCATGAACTTACAAGTAGCATTTGAGGGTCAAAATTCTCACCTGGGGTACGCCAATACCATTTTCATACATCCAGCCTAGATTCCACATCGCCAGCGCACTGAAATGCGTATCGGCAGCGCTCTGGTAATACTTGGCTGCCTTGTCCCATCTAAGCGCCTCGGGTTCATCGGGAACACCAAGACCATGGTAATAGTAGTCACCAACTTTGACTAGTGCATCAATATTTCGCTGGGCAGCAGAACGCGTCCACTGAGTGAGGGCGAGAAGAGCAGTATCATTGGATGCCTCGATAGGGGCAAACCGCGTGAGACGAAGCATGCTCCGGTCTGTAAATAGATCAGATTGCGAGGGCCTCGACTTTCATTTGGGCTGACCTTGGTCTAGAACGTAAGCCAGATTATTTTGTGCCATCTCAGACCCTCTCTCCGCCGCAACCCACCATTTAAGGATCGCAATTTCCTTACCACGCTCGGTGCCGCTATACCATGCAGCTTCGGCATCTGCCAGGAGGTCATCATCCCAGACTCCCCGCTCGGCAACAAGTTTGAAGAATGAAACCGCAGAAGCGCAGAAGCCTGCTGCGAAATCTTCATTTGCAATACGCATGTTTAGGGTGTGAATCTTCGCAAGGTAAAAGTGGGCTTCAAACGTTGAGCCAAAGCGCACTGCAGCTTCGAAGTATGTGATAGCGAGCTTGAATTCGCCGCGGTCTGTGTGTTGTTGAGCAAATACAGGCGTTTGTTTGAAGGAAATATAGGCTCACAATAGTTATACTTTCCAAGATTGACGTGAGCCTCTGCGAGTTCCTGACCTGCAGCCTTAGTGATGTGCACGAGGGCTGTCTTCATATCCTGGCGTCCAGGCACTAGCCCGTCTCTCCACATGATACCCAATAGATTATAGCATTCTCTGTCCTCAAATTCGGCCCCTCGTTCAAACCACATCATGGCCATCGCGTAGTCTTGTTTCACGCCCTCGCCCCGGAGATACATCCGCCCGAGATATGCCGCGCTCTTTGGTGCGTATCCAGCCTGCTTGATGTTTTCAGCCTTGTAACCAGATGCATTGTGCTGTAAGGGATTCGGAGGGTCGCGAGGCCAGACCTGCCGTGCGATCTGGAGAAAGTAAAACTGAGCTTGATGGAAATCCTGGGGGACGCGCCCAACCCCCTCCGAGCCAGAACCGATACCACCCGCAGAGGAGTAAATGCTACCTTGGTAGTAGATCTTCCCCAACTTGTACGCAAAGTCTGTTTCTCCTCTGTCAGCATTGAACTAAACTCACATAAGTAGAAAAAATGACATCGTAGATGAAAAAACGCACGATGTAGTACTCGAGAACGTCGTCCCACGTCTCTCCAGCAGTCTGTGCTAGGCCAGCCTTAACAGCGGGCTTAACAACATTTATCCCGGTGGATGCAACACTGGCGCCCGGCCCGAACACGCCCCCATCTAGATCAGATAGCCGTGTTGCAGTCTGCGGCAGGGTCTGGCCACCAGGGGGACCAGACAGGAACATTGACATCGCTAGGATGCTTGGTAAGAACTTCGGAAACTCAGAAACTATCGTTCATTCACCTTCATCTGCAGCCGCCTCGTACCATTCGACTGCACGTCCACAGTCTTCAATTGTGCCGATACCGCTCCAGTACCGATACCCCAGAGCCATCTGTGCACCTTTGTGACCACCCTGAGCAGCAAATGTGTAATATAATAATGCTTGGGCTTGGTCAATGGGAACGACATCTGCGTAACCTGTTGCATGGAAGAAGGCAAGAAGAGCCTGCGAGGAAGCATTGCCTGTCAGTGCGGCGTGGTGCAAGAGTGAATCAAATGCAAGTTTAGGGTCGGACGGAAAATGGGAGCTCGGAGGGAACTAAACACATAAGTTAGCACGTTGAGTTTTGGAACACGTGGAAGCGAGGCCTACGAGAGATATATACCCAAGCGTAAAAAGCGCATCCAGATTCCCTAGCTCAGCAGAATGTTGCAGTAGATCCACCACCTTTATTGCCTTTCCGCGCATCTCCTCGTCCCTTCTCCTCGCAGCACTTCCACTAGGTCCACCGAACAGACGGAAAAGAAAGAATTGTTGACGAAGTTTCAGTGCTATACGAAGTGCACCTCCTAGAGGACCTTGGCCTTGTGGATTGGGAAGGAGCGCAGAGAGAAGAGAAGGTGTTGTAGTAGTTGGTTGGGAGAATACGTTGTGAGTATGCGACGGCGGATGTGCGGTGAGGTTAGAAAGTGTGAATAAAGCAGACTTGTATGCTCTTGTCGCTGCGTGATACGTGTTAGATTCCTGAAGCACTGAAGAAGACCCTACTCACCCTCTGCACCGTGGTCGAACACTGGTTCCGAATATACGGTAGCCTATACAAGAATGAGCACCGTCCAAACACGCGGATATCCTGAATCTGCCTGCATACGTCATTTGGAACTTGGGCATTTTGTTGCACAACAGGCTCCAATTCTAACTGGGCCTTCTCTATACTATCCTAAAGAGCACATTAGTATTCACGACCGTGCAACTATCACAACAGTACTCACGGTTTGAAGTTGGGCTGAGGCAGAAAACGTAGCGAGCGCCACCAAGCCAAAGGCTAACCACGTTGCCCGCCTTGAACTTGCGTTTTTTCGAGGACTCATGGCTTCATGAATGGTTGTAGCTTAGAAATCCTAGAGCCGTTAGTAATGGTCACTTTGTCGAACAAACTACTGCCTACTGGTACAAGTTACGCATTCTCCCAGCGGAACGCCACTTTCGGAAATGCCACGTTTGCAAGCTATTGTACCTTATCTGATAAGATAGCTCGGCATTTGGGTTCAGTACAGGATCAATAATGCCGATCGACTAGCTCAGGCTGTATACGACGAAGAAGCAGACTCATTCCGCGTCAATAGTAAATACGGACTAGCTGTATACAACCGAAGCATAGCCTCATTCTATTTCCACTTTAACATCGTCCATCTTCATTGAAGACTGCGACGCCAACCAGGGATGAGAATACACAGGGCTGGACAGAATTTTGGCAAACAGACGGCGACCATGAGCATTGAGCATGTCTCTGGATTAAAGACACGAAGCACCCCCAAAAAATTTCATCTGTCGGACAAATGCAACACCACGGTGGCGGCCAACAGCATCTCGTCCTTGTCACAGAAGAAGTTCTTTTCCATAGTAGTAAAAGGTTTTCGCTCATAGAGCTAACCCGCGGCTCAAACAATAGCAAGGAAGCACCATTAAACCTGCCAGGTTGGCGTGAGCATCGCAGTGTGCAACAATCGGCTGTTCTTCATGTCCGAATGGCATCGAGTGACTGACAAATGACATACGCACATCGCCAGGGGTTATTGGCTATTTGTAGGCGCACTGCCAATGTCCAAAGTAGTGCAGAAGCTTGTCGCTTCGAGCCTGTACAGAGAATTATCACCGCACATGAGACGATACCTCGCTGAGTAAATGCCGTTAACATGTATTCAAAATAGGGATGAAGATCGAGTACTGAAATTTGATGCCAATACAGTCCGGAATTTTGTGACGTCTTGTGCAACGCAAAAGTCTGCAAGAGAATGTCTTTGAAGTGAGAAACAAGCTGCGATATTCGAAGCGGAAATAGGTCAGACATGCTCACGGCCCATACAAAAAAAAAATCGCACCTCCAGGACCGCGGCGCGCAGGCAGACGAGTGTCCCTGCTACGAGTACAAAAGGGGATATACTTTGGTCAATGTTTTGAATCATTCTCAGCAATTTAGTGCGCTGTAACTTCTACATCTGACCACTGGCGGTAGGTGGCTGCAATCGGACTTCGTGAGAAAACATGTGTTTGACAATCAAAGATATCAAATCGGCAGGCGCCAGAATGAGCGCCAATCGAAAGGCCTGGGCCACTGAACCCATCCCGCACCCGGTGAGTGGCAATAGATTTCCAAAGAATACCACTTACAAGCGACCCTACATGGAGCCAGGAAACTCCTGGAAGAAACGCTTCATTCGCCTAATGTTTGCCTAAGGAAGACTTCGCCCACAGCAAAATACTTGTACCGGCAATGTACCGAAGTTTTTTACCCGGTGCTTGTTATTTTACAAGACAATTGCCTTCGTACACCGCAAGGCCTCACAAAATGATGCCGTTTGCAGCTAAAAAAATTACGGTGTCTTCCTTGCTGTAGGTCCATCAGGATGGTGCTACCCTCATAACCGTATATGCGGAACCTAATACAACAACTGATGTATCACCACTCACAGTGCGACAGCTGAAGTCGAGAGCTAATTGTCTGAAATCCATCGCTCTTATCCTTTCTTATCTCCTTCCGCTCTAACACATGTGCAAGAGCAGTTCTAACATACCGCTTAGAACCGCACATATACATGAATCAGAACTTCCAAAGTCAGTGTACGAATTCGATAGACGATATAATTGGTCACTAGTATGTCACTAGATAGGCACATAGGGCCTGTGACATCGTTATTGGCATCGATTACCCTTACAATTATCACCAGCAACCCACAATCTAAGCAATACATGATAGTCAGCTGGACTGTGGGACACAGCGACAGGGACATGGAACACGCACAATCATAATGATGTTAGGATGGACACGAGGTGGTGGTAGCATGCCATACAAGCATGCAGAGAGAACAAGAGGTTGCACCAATCACGCAGGGGATCGATCATCCAGATAGAGGTTCTCGTGCCGTATGAAGACCGTCATCATAAGCCGCCGCTCGGAGCGTTCTGCTGCCTTTCGGGTGACCTTTCTTGGTGACGTCAGATATCGAACTAGCTGAGAAAATCAAGACTGCAGAGCAAAGAAGGAATAGACCCCGGTAATTCCCAACATAATTTACTTACTGTAATTAAATAAGTTAGCTAATGAAAATTGTAACATTTTAACGTTTATGGTTGAAACTTGACTAGATAGTCAGATTCAGGTTTGCGAGTAGCATGCTGCAAATGCAGGCTGGCCCACCAGTTCCCAACCTATGTCGCATAATGATCGCATACATCCAGCACTTACTCCACAATCTAATTCCTTCAAGTTCTGCTTTTCCAATCTTTTTGGGGCCATATCATTAACCCCCACTCTACTTACTCACTCAAAACCAATGTATGACTTCATCAAGACTTCATGGACATCATGTATTCTTTCTGGCATCCACAATGTTGCCCCTGCCCCCTCTGTTGGCCTGCTTCCATTATTTAATGTTTTGGCTTGGAGCTCCTGCCATGAGTCTGCGACATGGGTTGGCAAGCCCTCTTACATCTTTGGGACTTGAGCAGTGCCCCTGTTCCGACTTCCAATGGTGACAATGACAAATCTGTTGCTCACAATGATAATCTCTGTACTCATCTTGTAGGAAGGGAACCATTAGGGCAAGATCATTGACTTGGCCACTCTCTGTAGTATGGCACCTTCACATTTGTCAACAATCTCCACAGATTTCCGCCAAGTCAGCATTCTATAGCCATCTCTCCCCTACTCTGCTGCTGTGTACACACTATTGGCATTTCAGATGGCATAATGATAAGTATGTGGGTACCTGCTGACAAGCTAGAAGGCCATAATTCCTCCTTTAAAAAGTGGAGTGACATTGTTGTCTGCTGAGCCCTATCTATGGATCTCCCTGACTCTTCTCATGAGCTTGGTGATTTGGTCAAGTCACTTGCTTATTACACATCTGTCTTTGCCCACCAACCTGGAGGTTCACATTGTGACAGTGGTTTTGTGGATGAGCCAGATCATTTAGTCACTGTTGCTTTCGAGAAGTGCATCCATTACGATTTTAGTATTCACTTGCGATAACTTGGTTCTTCTAGTCAAAGTAGAACTGTGGCTGATGATCCTGTATGGTCTACTCATATACTACATGCACCACAGCCCAGTCGTCCCCCAATGTATCAGTGGTCTGGTGAGATAATCATGATTGTCAAAACACAAAGTTCTTACTTACTAATGCTGCTATCTAGGATCTACATACATGGGCTCTTACTCGCTGGCAAACCACACAATGGGAATGAGCATCCCTCAACCCTCTGCCCCTCCCATTCTCACGATGCAGGATGACTTGCTTGAAAATTTCCCTGATGTCTGCAATATTCCACCATCTCACCCTCCTCTGTGTAACCACAGTACTGTTCGTTTCAAGCTGTACCATAATGACCGTCCTCATAAGCACCATGGTTCTTTTCTTTGCCGGTGGGACAACAACGGATCCCTTTGTGGTGATGAGCTTCAGGCCACACCCAAGGATATTTTGCCCACCTGCACCAGGATCATAATAGTGGGATTGGCAACAAGGAAACCTACTGTTGCCTTTGGATCACAGCTCACGGTCGATGTGAGGAGCAGCTGAGGTTCCAGAGTTTCGGGTGTCATGTGATTAAGCATACTGGCATCAGAATCAGATGTTCTCTCTGTGGTACAATGATGCCAGCTCGGAATGACCTTGCTATTAGGCATCGCCATCATCACCCAGATTGCTCTCAAGCAGACTTTGTCATCATACAGGTTGCAATACCAAAACACCTTTCTGACAATGACCACCACTCTTTTGTGATGTTTCAAATGGTTTGTTGCATGCTATGTGATATGTGAGTATCCAGCATTCGGGAAGCCATCAACTACACAGTGCATTCGGTTTACTGGTCATGATGCTGTATCGATACTATTGCTTATTTTATTGTTCATCCTATCTCTTGGGCCACCACCTCCTATATACATGCAACATATACATCTCGTGGCCTCTACACCCCACCATGCTTGAACCATTGACAAATATTTCGGTACCAGTTGGGTCATTGCCCTTCACAATCAATTTAGTCTTTGTAACTTGCTTTTACCATTTTACTTCTTCATGGACTCACAGATTTAACACATCGTGCATAGGCCATGAGCCTTTTATATCTTACTCACCTTATCATTCATCGCTTCAACCTCAGCCTTTCCAAGTCGTCCTTTAGCTTTATTGATTACCCTCCACTTGCACATTCTGCATTCGTTTTTTCAACATTCCTCTTTCACTCCCATCCTGTAACGTCTATCAAACTCTACCACAAACCTTGTGAGCTACTAACTTTCGCTTTCATGGAGCTGGCTAAGTTATCTTGCAGTGGAAGCCAACCTAAGGTGAATGGGACCGGAATGAGATGTGTACCCAGACACAGTGACAGGGTTTCAGATATGGGCTGCCACATGATGACATGCTTATAGTGCTTAGTACTGAGGTGAGTTGCTCAACAAATGGGCTTAGCAAGTTCTCAGAATGCCTCAGTCTGTAAACAGACTAGCCATGCTCTTCAAATTTGTTCAAAGTCAACAGGGACGAACTTCACTAGAAGTCATATCATGAAGCACAACCTTGGAGGCACAATGTCTTTCAGAGATGAAAGGTGCATACATTCCGAAGGTTCTTTGTATCAATTTACGGGACTCAACAGTAACATACTCATACTATTCGATGATCACCTACCCTGCCTTTTGAGAAGTACATCTGCTTTCCATTTCTTAGCATTCACTGGCAATAACTTGGCTCTTCTAGTCGAAATGGAACTGTTGCTGATGGTCCTACATGACCTGCTCTCATGCACCACAGCCCAGTGGTCTGGTGAGAATATTCATCACAGTTAAAACACCCTTCTTACTTGATTGTGCTTTCATCTAGGATTCACATACATAGGCTCTTCCTTGCGAGTGACCAACTGGACAATGGGGATAAGTGTCTCTTGACCCTCTGCCCCTTCCCATTCTCACAATGCAGGACAACTTCCTTGCAAGTTTCTGCGACGTCTCTGATAACCCACAACTCCACCACCATCCATAACCACAGCACTAATTGCTCAATCTGTACCATATAGACTGACCCCACAAGAATCATAGCACCTATACTTGTCAATGGGACAATGAAGGAATTCTTTGCAGACTTCACCTGTGTGAATGGCATGGAATAGACAAGGACCCCTGCCACTGCCTATGCGTTACACATCGCCATGGCCACTATGAAAAGAAGCCGAAGATCCACAGTTTTGGGTGCCATATTATTACCCACATCAGTGTCAGATTCAAGTGTCACATCAGTGGTATAACAACGATGGCCTGGAATGACCTCACCGCCAGGCATCATCAGCAGTACCCAGATTACTCTCAAGCTGATTTCATGATTATCTCAGATCACGATAGTGAATTGTTTTTTTCCAACAATGGTCACCATGAATACATGAGTTGTATGTGCCTTAGCAGTCATGATGCTCCCATCATTCATAGGGCTTCATTCTTCATTCATTCGAACTTCTGGTTTCTAGATCGTTTGTGCAGTGCTTATCTATGGACATATTCTGTTTCAGCTCATTAACCATGTACACAGTGAGTTCGCTTAGCTGTGTATGATACTGTTATGTCCATACCATATTCATCATTGACTCTACCCTATCTTACCTCAGACCACCCTGAGAGATTAAATATTGAGCAACAGAAGTCAAATGGGGTGGGGTATATGCAGACAGATGTGTAAGTTCATCAAAGAGTCACCGTAAATCTGAACCGAGACATTCCAAGTGTCATATATCACATGTCTCATTTCTTGTGTTCTGTGATCCACCCATGCTGTACCTGCAGAGCAACTGGACATCCTTTCTGAAGTCGGGAGTGACCATCATCCTTATTTCAGCTTTTAAGATCAGCAATGTGATGCCACTTGGGCTGGCTAGCTTTACAGGCGATCTGTCGGTACTGTATGAGCAAATGGGCGATGTCATTGATTAGGCGCCTGTGATGTATATCTGCATGAGATTTGATACATTCTCCTACTTCACCATTATAGTAGATATCCCAGGAATGAACTTGAGTAATTCATACTTTTGCTTGGGTTACTCATGTGGAGGATAGAGCGATCAGGTAATCGTGCTGCCTACCTAAAGGCAATGGCATCTACAAGTGCCTGCTCATTCAATTCCATCATCAGGTAACTTTTGTTTGCTATACTTGCTCCCCCTGCCAATTTGCACCATTCATTGGCCACATTGACGTGATCAAGTCTCTTCCTCTCCAAAAAAGACACATACTTTGTGCTGTGCTTGTACATCTCTGCACTGAGTGGGACACCAAGGATCAGTTCTTGGCCCAAGTTTGAATGAGGAAGCATGTGAGGTGTCAGTCCTGAAGACCCCACTCACCCTCTGCACCCTGGTTGAATACTGGTTCCAAATATATGGTAGTCTATACAAGAATGAGCACCGTCAAAATATGTGGTGGAGTAGGGGACCCCTGGGTGAGGGGCGGTTGGGCTGAGGCAGAGAACACAGTGAGTGCTACCAAGCCAAAGGCTAACCAGATTGCCCGCCTTGAATTTGCATTTTTTTGGGACTCATGGCTTCATGAATAGTTGTAGCTCGAGAGTCCTAGAGTCGTTAGTAACTACTAATGGTCACTTGGTCAAACAAGCTACTGCCTACTGGTACAAGTTGTGCAATCTCCCAGTGGAACCACTTTTGGAAATGCCAAGTTTGCAAGAGCTTAGAGTGTACACACCTTATCTGACAAGACAACACTGATCACATCTGTGCTGGCCCATCCCATGCCAATACACTGAGGTCCAGACTTGCACCATTTCTACCCATCTTCTTTGGAGACTGCAATGCCAGCCAAGTATGAGGATGCACACTGAGCCAGAAGTCCAGACAGAAATTTGGCAAGCAGACAGTAATCACAAGCACCAAATAAAATGCAACCTGCTCATCATAGAATAAATATCTTGCCACATTAATGATGGACGTATACTGCATAGCTTTGGCTCAAGCAATGTGGGTTGGCATGAGCATCAGGCTGTGTAGTATTAATCACAATACTGGCCTGTTCTACATGCCTAAGTTGCATTAATTTATGTAATTCAAGTTCATGATATGCACAATACCTCAAATTTACATGACCAACAATATAGTGGAGCTCTGGCCTCATTCCATCTCCCCTTGACTAATTTGCCTCCCTCACTGGCAGAGACCATGAAGCCAGCATAAAAAATACAGATATGAGGATTGTTCAACAGAAATTTGGCAGACAGGTGCTGCGACCATGAGCAGTCAATGTGTTGCTGAATTCATTAAGGACACAAACTTGAAGCAACATCATTTGCATTGGCACAAGCATCACAGTCTGAACCTGTTCTTCATGTCCAAATTATTAATATTTGGAAAATATTGTCATTGATGCTGTCACCAAGGCCAAACCCAGCATTGGCTATTTGTTGGCCATAGTCAGGCTCCTACCTATCTGCAACTGGGTATGGGGTGCAGTAGAAACTGAGGTCAAGAGTTATTCTTAGAATGTCACATTATCAGCTGAGTACAAATATTTACTAGTATTTGGCCATATCTATGCATCTATATCATGTGAACTTGACTGCCTGCAGTCGCAAGTTGGCACAGTCCAGTGCTACATCTGCAGGAGATATGAAACAAGAAGCAATGTGGTGCCATATCAAGTGCAAATAGTCAGACATGGTTGAAGCATGTGGAAAACAATGACCATACAAAAGAACAATGAATCAACATATCTTAGCATTTGCACTTGTACAACACATGGCCTGAGCCAGAATGAGTGCTGGCTGAAAGAACTGGGCTCTCTGGATCAACTCAACATTTGGTGAGCAGAGGAACGGGATTTTCAAGCATAATCAAACACTTACAATTGTCCTTAATGCAGTCAGTTCTTGTTCTTTTTACAGAGATACAGTCGCCTTCAGACACTGTCATGGTACTTCACAGACCTGCCCCAAAGCAGTTGCATATAACTGCAGCCACAGCTTGAAAGGGTTTGAGATGATGGAGTATTCATCACTGAGGACATCATTGGATGACTTCCTGCAGGCTCAAATATGTTGATTAGAATATCACATCATAAATTTGACTACATTAGGAAGGTGTGCTGCAATGCTGCTGTTCATTTGAGCTGAATTTGCAAACATATTTTTTTTGCCCCCCTCTTTCAGACCTTAATCTATTTTGATCTATTCAGCCCTCCCCCTTCCCCCCCCCTACAGACTTGAATATCTGACTTTTGTCCATTTTAGGCTACTAATGCCAGTGATATTCACTGACATAATGAGCCTTGCTTAATGTGTGTAGTACCTCTTGCAGTCATACAAAGGTGCATTGTCAACACCTTGCCAAGTTTGTTGACACCTCTTTCTCCCTCCTCTTTTTAGACTCTAATACCAAGTCCTATATATGAAATTATGACTTGACAATGTTGCCTCAGCCAGTGCCTCCAATTTTGCCCAATCTGTCCCAGCACCTTCTACCTCCAACCAATCCTCACCCTCCATTAACGGAAATTTACTTACCATCCCTGCATTTAGGATCAGCTCTCTCACAATCACTACATGTTGGGCTGGTGTGCTTGTGTTGCATTGTTACTAGTGCAGGGTCCTTGCATCTTGAAGTTTTACTATGAAAACACCCACCCCTTCCTTCAGATGGCTCAACAAACTCAAGGACTATATGGATTTAACACATTTTCAGTCACCAGGTAAGTATATTCATATGGCCAGTCCCTCCAATGTCTGATATCCCCCCTTCCCAATCTATGTTCATCCCTGATAGCCTATCAAATCCTGAGTTGCGTTATGATGATCTTCAGGCCACTGTACTCAAGTGACAACCTGAGTGATCCCAGGATAGGACAACCAATTTCCTGCATGATCATGCACATATCCATTCCCTGTGCCATCACATGTCTTATAAAGTAAGTCAATTCACTGTTCTCTAAGCTTCATAACATGGACTTACCACCTTGCAGCAATGTGCAGTTACACCTTTGACATTTAGACTCACCACTCCTGCCAACTTCTCCCAACCTGGTGAGGCATCTGAACCACTGCCCTTACTGTCTGGGTCCCATCTTATTCTGGGCCCTGCTCAGATCCCACTCCCTGACTCACCAGATAGAGACCTTTGTGACCCCATGGCAATTGCTGAAGCTCATGGATATGCACCTGCCATCAGAACTGCTGGCGCATGTCACAAGACTACAACCCAAGCTAACAAAGGCAAGGGAAAAGAGAATACTGAGCATGCTCCCAAGTGTGCATGCACAGCTGAGAATGATGAGGATGACCCAAGGGCCAGTGCCAAATGTAGCCAGCCCTGTGGGTCCAACAATTATAGCTCAGCTAACATTTAAGTCCTCCTGGACTTTGTCAAAGATGAGCACCCTCTGGGACAGAGAGGATGGCAAGTGATCCATTTGAAGTACAGTGAGTGGGCAAGGAGCCATGGCCATCCTCCTCACAAAGCCATGTCGCTTGAGATGAAGTTCAAACAAATGAGTCTTACATTCAAGTGTTTCTACCCATATCTCACATAACAACCTCAGTTGGTGAAAACCACGAAGCCCACAGGTGATGGTGTTTGTCCCCCTGATGTAACTCATGCTCATGAGATTGATGCACTCATCAATGAGCATGCTGGTACACATGATCTCAATGACTTGGATTTTGATGCTGATGACAGTCATGATGACTCATGAAATGTTACTCCCCCCATTGAGTGCACTGCAGTTACTCATGCCACTCACACAGATGCTCCTGTGCCATGCTGCTGAGGTGCAGCTGCCTCAGAGCTGCTCACTCACATCAGCAGGGCCTTTTACCCTGCCATCCAGCAAGCTTGGGACAAGCAATGTGCCAACCAGTCCCTTGCAAACATGCAGCTACTTACCCAAGCACAGCAGCTATGAGACACAAATACAGTCATGGAGCAGCTATGCACTCAACTGTATGACTTATACACCAAACTCTATGCTGTTGAATGTGAATGTGACCTTGGTCAGCTTCATGCAAAAATGATGCAGATGCATGGGCCTGCCCCAACCCAGCTCCTTGCAACTGTCATATCCGCATATCTGGATCTCAGATCCAATCCTTATCTCATCTCAGATCTGATCCACATCTTATCCCCCTCCAACATCTCATCATCCAATCTGTCCACTTGTCCAGTCTGGTCCACAATTCATCTGAATCCACAACCAGCACTTGTCTCCTTTTGGTAATTCCCTAACTCCAATATTTCGGCTATCTGTATATCCGTCCTGCTCCCTGATCCATTACCTATGCTTCATTTCCATTTCATGATTTGTGATCCATTTCTACTTACCAATAGACTATCCATATGCTTCGTACATAGCCTCAGACTCTGCTGATTGATCATTCTGTTAGATACCTATAGTATATAACCTCCTGTAACTCTCTGTAGCACCTCAGTTCAAATATCAACTTAGTTCTGCTCATTCCTGTCCTCTGGACCTGAGTATCTCTACTCTCATCATCCTCTGAGACTTAGGATTGATTCCTATAGTCTACCCACATCCGCCTCTGTCTATGACAGCCACTACTGCTAGTTTCTAGTCTAGACTTGTCCAGATTAGCCTTACAATACTTATCCCACATCCGGAAGTCATCTGGATCCGCTATGCTACTTGTCTGACCCTCCAGACGTGTTAGTCTTGTCTTCCTGAAATAAGGGGCACAGCACACAAGCTGAGGCTGAAGCCCTTCAGATCCAGTTAGCCCTTGAGTATGACCTTAACAAGGAGGATGACTTTGGGGGGTGAAGTAAGGTATACACAGCACTGTACAAAGTGGGAATAGGAATAAGTCATGCATGCTCAAGGCTCATCTTGAAACAAAAGTTCACACCTCCAAGAACATGGCATGCAGGAAGATGAGCAGCAGCAGTGAGTACATAAGGGATACCCTTTGGTCAGTGCTA